GTTAGTGAGACACTGTTAACAAATAAGGACTAAAGAAATGCCATGGTTGCTCGATACATTAGACCGTGACATTAATTGATCTTTTCAAAGTACTGAAAATTCTTTGGGCAGAGCAGCAAGTGTCAAAATCCTAAAGAGGATATGATATTGTGAAGATTTAATTCAGATCAACAATGCAGTAGATTAGTTAATGGTGAAATCTACAAGTTATCTCTGTTTAATGTTAAATGCAAAATACATAAGATTGAAAAAATAGTCCCGGTGAAGTGAAGGAGTGATAAAGTTATTACATTATTGTGATTATAAAGAGTTGCACTTTTAGAAACCATCACCAGTGCAGGATGAATACCTAATAAAAGTGTATCATGTTAAGAAGCTATTTATTTATCTATTATTTTTTTAAGAAAATAGTGCATACTCACTTGCAATCAAGCAAGATGCAGACAGACTCCATGACAGTCATCACTAGGGCTGGGGGTTTAGTGAACACCTTGATCTCAGAGATGTCAGCCTTGTCAAGAGATCTGAGGGCCTGGTTGGCACTCTCTAAAGCTGGCAGAGCCTGATCTAAGTCCCTCTGTGCGTCATCTGCAATGGCCTGGGTTTCGTCAGCCTTAACTCGGGCCAGTGCCTCATCTTCTTTTACTACTTTACGTACCTGTGACAAGGAGAATTATTTTAGTTATGCTCATGAAGTAATGACAAAGAGTTACCATGATTTATAATTGAAATATAGGCAACATCAGACACGTTTTTGAAAGTTTTGTGATAAAACACAGACCTCATCAGCCTTCTCTTGATCTACAGCCAATTTCTCCATGAGGGCATCGACATCAGTAGATTTTTGTTTGAGGACTGGCTCCAGAGCAGAAAGGTCCACCTTCATTTTGTCTACAAGCTCGTTGGTCTCCAGCAGCTTAGTGACACCATTCTTTACACGATCCCTGGCCTATACAGTAACACACGCATAAATAATTATCCTGTTTGATATAATCAACATAACAACTCATGATGCATTACAGTCACAGTAAAAATAAAACTGACTATTAGCACTCACCACCAGCTAATGTATCTAGCTGCTATTTTTCCTACACAATATCAGGTAACAATTCATCATCAACAACATATGTGAAAAATTGCCCATAATTGTGTTGACATACCAGAACTAACTGCTGTCTCTTGTTGCCAAGCATGCTGAGGTAGAGGTTGAT